CCTCCACAACTAGATTGAAGAACAAAACGACAGCAACTTGTCTGTTCCCCTTCCCCCAATTCCCCAGCACTGTTCCCATCCCCCCAATTCCCCAATTTAAAAAAAAATAAAAAATCTTTAAAAAAAAAGAAGCCAGTCCTTTCTGTCATGGCTTCTCCTATATGAATGTCATGTGGTATGCAGGGAAGAACTCTCCTCCTATTTTAAAATTCTCAAGAGCACAGAGTATTTTGCAAACTTCTTTTAAATCTGCCAATTACACCAAGACTGCAATGCTCAAGGTAAACAGAAGATAGATACTTTCCTGTAACTAAAACATCATTTAGAGATCTAAGGAAAAAAAGCTTAAATATTTTTCCTAAAGGTAACAGACAACTTTAAAGATTAGTTCTACATTAGCATAAATACATCTATAGAGCAAATCAGAATGCATAAGACTAAGATAAAACATGTGACGTCAAAAGCTAGCCCTATCTTTGACCTTCAGCTCTATGTAGTCACTCTCCCTGTGATTAAAGTGGTTGAGTTGGAATTGCTGAGAAGCAGGACTTTAGGCCAGAGCTTCTCAAAGTGTAGTCCACAGACTGATGTCAGTCACAAACTTATTACTGATCCATGATGAAATAAATATCCAAATTGAGAATAAGCATTTAGAAACTCAGAGCAATTTGATATTGCCATGACAAATTTGGACTTTTATTTTGTATTTCTTTGGGTTTTCTCCCTTCATTTCTCTAATAATTCATTTAAACTATATTTTATAAAAGCATTGATCCACAAGATTGGAAATTTTTTTTTAAACCCAACTGGCCCTTCAACACAGATTGTGTGAGAAGCACTGATTTCAGCACTAGGAAATATAAAGTACATGATGATGTCCCTGCTATTTACAGAGAAGAAATCTGTTGAGACCATTATTGTCTTCATATCTAATCCATCTAGAGCAAGGATTAATCCTTCCCTTGGATTCATCATTACTTGAAACTCTCTCTCCTAATGTTGAGTTTTCTCTCTAGACTGTTTAAAATATAGTGATTATAGTCCTTGGGTACACAGCATAGCTTAAGCCCCAGGAATACCTACATCCAGTTGACAGTAATGGTAATAATAAGAAATAAAATCTGACAAACATTTATCAGAGAGAAGGCATACTTTAAACTTGGGCTCCTAAAAATAAAAGCCATTCAAACGGAACAAGAAATTGAAACCTAAAAACAAACCAAACAAAATTTTTTTCTAAAGTCACAGGATGTAAGGTGTGGGACAGGAGGGTAGAAGAGGTGGAGGGTTGACAAATCATTCCACTGGGAATCCCAAAGCATTCTTCTTTATCTGTACAGTGTACCACTGAGTCTAAATGTTTTACTTTTTATAAATATGCACCATGGAAATGAAACCTACATTATGACTCTTTCCTAAAGACTGCTGTACTGTGCCTGGATTTCCTTCTATAACAATAAAAGTTATTTTTGGAAAAATTAAATTCATTTGAAAGTTGGCACGGTAATTCCAACTTCCATTGAATAAAACACATAAGTGAAACAAACTGTTTGATAATCACAACTGAGAATAGTGATCTCAAACACATACAAAATTCAGTCTCTTGCTGTCTAGCTTAATATTCATTTGTTAAGACGACTAGGTGTCTGTTAAGATCTTTTGTCAATTTTACTTCTAAATACCAGCCATACTTCAAATAAAATGAACCACACTTCATTTGATGTGCAGCTTATAAAAAAGGCATTACAAAACATCTGTAGGTCGCTCAAATGCCTAAAATACTGAATAAATTCTGATTTACACAGATTTACACTTTGAGTTTAACTTTCAACAAGAAAATGATGCAGAGAGAGACTAACTACTAAACTAGAAATGGAAAAGGCTATCCAAACACGATATAATTAATATCTTAGCCTTGATACTCATGGATAGATGTGAAAAAGAAAGGAGCCATGAAAACCAGTTATGATATGGAAGAGAAGAATGTCCAGTAGAATCTATTGGGACTCCAATCACAATAAGTCAATTAATCCTGCAATCCATACAACTCAGCTTACTCTGAGTCCTGGAAGTCCAATCCAACACTCACTACTTTCAAAAGTACATGTGTGGACTTAGTAAGGAAAATGTTAACTGAAATGAGGAGAAATCCTGTAAGATCTTGCTATCATTATTTCATTAATAAGCAAATCATACTAAAAAAGTCCAACAATTCCAGGTCAGAACAGATGTCCTACTCGGATCGCTCAAAGGCATCTTCTTTTTTATTTTTTACCAGAATATCACTTCTTTTTTACATATTTCATGAAAGCTGAGTTCCAAATGTAAAGGAAAAAATTCTGGAAGCATATAAGGAAAAGAAAAAATGCTTTAAAAAACTAAAATGTCAATCCCCCAAATTAGATTACCTAAACTAAATTAACAGAATATTAGAAGTAACTGCAAAAAGAAAGGGAATTGGACTGTCTTTGCTTCATAGGGTTCTGTGTGTGGTCTAAAAAGTTGAACGTTCTGGTCACTATAAACCTAAAAGCTGTTTTAAAAGTGAAATACAAGATTTCAACGGAAACATTTCAACAATTAGGACCACACAAAGGGAGAGTTTGAAAGAGATCCGCAAAGCCAAGTTTAAAATAATAGCAAACGCTTATAAGGTGTTTTCTATACACCATAGCACCATTCCAAGTGCTTTACATATACTATCTCATATAAATTATTGAAAATAATTGATGGCCATGCTTCAAAACCAGATTCACCTTGTTGTTTTATTTTAAACTCACTGCTTTTACAGAGATTTGGCAAGCTCTCAAATCCTAAACTGAAAGTAAACTACTTACTATAAATCCCCAAAACAGGGCCGGCCGAGTGGAGCATTGGTTAAGAGCTGGCTTGGGACGCCAACTCTGAGCAGCAGGACCCCGGTTCGGATCCTACATTAGGGCCAGTGACGCTGCGCCCTCTACAGCTAAGATGGTGAACAACAGCTCCGCCTGGAGCTGGGCTGCCGTGAGTCGCCAGCGACAGCGTAGGCTGCAGTGAAGCTGCAGTGGGCTGCCGTAAGCTACCGTGAGTGGCTGGCAGCCAGTGTGAGCTGCCAAGAGCTGCCGTGAGTGGCCATCCAGAGGCCGGCAACAAATCTGCCTCACCCAGGAAGAGCGCAATGATAATACCAACATGGGCCAGTGAAGCGACATCCTCCACAACTAGACTGAAGAACAAAAGGACAGCAACTTGTCTGTTCCCCTTCCCCGATTCCCCAACGCTGTTCTCCTCCCCCAATTCCCCAATAAAATCTTTAAAATAAATCCCCAAAACATACTCATGATGTTGATTTTCAACCTTTTCACTATTTCAACAGTTTATTGCTTCTTGACATTTTACTTCATTACAACATAACAGGTAAAAGTTGAACCAACTAAAATCAGTAAGACTTGACTAGGCATCAAAAAGCTAGGAATCTAAATCACTGACCTGTTAGGCTGAAATTGAGTTTCATTCTAATGTGCTATTTTTTCCCCTAATATGCTACCAATCAATTTTCATATATTAACAGTAGAATCATATCCTTAGTATAAAATTCAGCAGAAATGCCACATGAAAAATAGTTACCTGAATTTGAATCTGGAAAAGACAAATAGCAAATATTGGTTTTCTGAAAAAGAAAACAAAAGCTATGTATGCCGATACACACACACCAATAAAAACAAACAGGAAAACAAAAGAAGACCATAAAGAGAAATATTTTTACTTACTTCTTTATCAGTAAGTTTGGAATGTTGAGGATAAATTACCTGGAAGAAAGAGAGTTAAATTTTGTTACACAAATACATTGAGTGTATATTATAAACATTAGTAGGTACTTCTAAAATACTAGTTGGCTATGGTCAAATAGTCTTAAGAAATAGTTTACAAACCTTAACAATGAAACATGTAAGAACCTGGGAGAATTTACATTAGGCAAAAAAAAATCTTTTTGATTCAAAGTTATCTCTATAAGATAGGTGAAATCTTGAGTTATCAAGAATAATTTACCACTGCCGGTAAGATGGCGGAATAGACAGACGCTCTGCCGACTACCTCCCAGGATCACAACAAAATTACAAATAATTTATAAGATATTCAACCTCGGAAGTTCCCTGGACCCTAGATGAACAGAACCTCTAAACGAAGGACTTAAAGAGGAGGCCATGTCAAGTCCGGGTGTCAGGTGGTCACATGTCTTGCATCATGGATGGGGAAGAGGCTTGATCACTGCACTGTACACCTGAAACTGATGTTGTATAATATTGTATGTCAACTATAATTGAATATATATAGATATATATATATGTATATGTGTGTGTGTGTATGGGACGCGGAGTATAGTGTGGGAGTGGACTCAAGGGATTTGTAATAGATATGTATGATATTGGGGGGAAATGGAGCAGCGGATTGTGGAAGGGGGGTTGTCACTTCGAGGGGTAAAAAGTATAACTATTGCACTGTGTTGTACAGCTGAAACTAATTCTAAAAAATGTGTATTTCATAATAAAAAATAATTTAATAAAAAAAGAATAATTTACCAACTGAATTACCAATAATTCAAAGTTTACAGAATCTTTTCTTTGTAAGCCTAAAACCTAAAGAAAATTTGATCAGTTGGTACCTACTTCAAGCAATAATGATTTTCAATTGTTCCAAGAGGTAGCAGAAATCATTAACTTCTTATTAAAAGAAAAAGGAAAAGGAAAAAATAATTATCTGCAGTTTAAGAACTCTCAAAAGCCATTTCCCATCATAAAACTATTTCAGTTCCCTCTAATCCTTTTAAATAATAAACCTATACTAAACAGGTCAGTTTAGTGTCTGCAGTGATCATAGTCACCTTCTGAGGGAAACTGCTGCCCCACGGCCCTAGTGAAGGAAGGGAGACTAGGCCAGAACAGCTACTGTGGAAAGAAACAGTAGTAAACACCAGATCCAAGGGCACCCACTTCACAGGCCAATAATCTGAGTGTCTAGATGTGGCTGGGTATGAAAATACTGCCCAAAAGAATACCAATGCTCAAGTGGGCCAATCCAGATTCTCTTGGCAATGTGAAGAAGAGATGGGATTAGGAGCAGATTAGCTAGTGCTGACAACAAAAAGGAGAGAAAACAACACAAAAAGCAGCTAAATTATGTTAACGTTGGGTTGCTAATGTGGGGATCCATGACTTCCCACTTCTGGAAGAATCCACGAGTTCTTCCAGTCCCCACTGCTGCCCATAGCCTAAAAAATGTTCCCTTTCCAGAAATAACATACAATAATATCACATTATAAACTATATTCAAGTGGATTCACATATTTATTTCATTTATTTAGTTCTCACAATAATAGACAAGGAGTGGTATCACATTTTATATGTAAGAAAACTAAGGTAAGAAAATAGATAGGGAGAATTAGTACTTAATGAGTATCTACTGTAGTTTTTAATTTTCACGACTCTGTCAATTCTTCCCATCTTTACAGAAGAGTGGACAAGTTCACAGCAGTTAAATAACTCTCCCAATACTTATTCATCTAGTAAGTGCCAGAGCTAGGAATTGAATTTAGGTCTGATTCCAAAGTATACAAGCCACCAATCCTCACTCTATCTATAGTAGAGATCATTAATATGTAACTGCAGCCATCTTTCCCCCATAGCAAGTATGTAGCATATAAACCTTCCCAATGGGGAGGATCTACAGAGCTGGTACGTTACATAAAAACCACCCACCATTCTTGGAATAGCGAATGATACCAAAGCATATTCTCTCTACTAACCCAGATTTGTATTCCATGTTCTAACCAACCTGACTTAACCTCTGTCTCCACAATTCACAAAAGCAAGAACCTGGCCTGTTTTGTTCACCACTCTAGATAGACACCTAGAAGAGTCCCTGGTGAGACAACAAGTTTGGACCTAGAGGGTATTAAGCTAGTGAAATAAGTCAGAGAGACACAAATACTATATGATCTCACTTATATATGGAATCTAAAGAACAAAATAAACAAACAGAAACCAAAACAGAAACAGATTCATAGATACAGAGAACAAACTGATGGTTACCAGACAGGAGGGGAGTTGGGGGGGGGGGGGCTGGGTGAAAAAGGGGAAGGGATTTAGATATACAAATTGGTAGTTACAAAATAGTGATGGGCGATGTAAAGTAAAGCATAGAGAATATAGTCAATGACATGGTAATAACTATGTGTAGTGCTAGGTGAGTACTAGACTAGTCAGGGGGATCACTTCTTAAATTATATAAATGTCTAACCACTATGCTATATACCTGAAACTAATATAATACTGAATGTCAACTACAATTGAAAAATTAAAAAAAATAAAAAAGAACAGCCTCAGGTGCATAGTAGACACTAAAAAAAATATTTCTTCAATCAGTAGATATACCCTCAAATTAATTCCTTTCAACTCAGTATTTAAAATATAATTCCTTTTATGTGTACGTATATTTCTCTTGCTTCACCTTGAGACCATTTTACCTTGTTCCCTTTAAAGCAGAAATGGCAAGCTTATAACCTATTTAGTCATATTTTATGAATATCTCATTACATCTACGTTACCCTGGAGTTTGCTGGGCTAAAACATATTGGTAAATTTAGTGGCCTGTAATAGCTTAATCTTAGACTCTAAAATCAGTATTTATGTAAGTGCTCCTCAGATTTTTATTTCCTGCAATTAAAATATCAACTCAAAAGCAAATATACAAAGTTTCATTCTTGTTACATAAAGACATTACAGTAGTTCCTTTAGACTTTCCTAGGGTTTAAAATACCAGCATGACAATATAGAAAAAAAATGTCAATATGTTTTACCTACATATATGAGTACCTTAAATAAATATACGTATGTTTATATGTGTGTATGTATGTGTATCTAAGAAGTTGATATATGCTATATATATTTAAGTACCTAAGCTAAAAGGATGTAAGAACTACATAACCTATCAAATCTACCTTTTAAAAATTGATTGTACTAGACTGTCAAACAGTATTCTAAAATTTCACTTTAATATACTCTGTTAGGGGCCGGCCGAGTAGCGCGTTGGTTAAGAGCTGGCTTAGGATGCCAGAGAGCCCCAGTTCGGATCCCACATGAAGGCCAGTGACACTGCCCTCTACAGCTAAGATGCTGAACAACAGCTCAACCTGGAGCTGGGCTGCCGTGAGTGGCCGGCGATGGCGTAGGCTGCAGACCCTGCTGCAGTGGGTTGCCATGGGCTACTGTGTGTAGCCAGCAGCCAGCGTGAGTGGCCAGCAGCCGCCGTGAGTGGCTGTCCAGAGGCCGGCGACTGATCTGCCTCGCCCGGGAAGAGTGCAATGATGGTGCTAACTTGGGCCAGTGAAGCAACGTCCTCCACAATTCTCCAATAATAAAAACAAAAATTTTAAAAAATAAATAAAAAGTGGGAAAAAAATGTCCTGGTATCAAAATATCTGGACAGGCTGGGCCTCAGTCTAAGATTCCAGCTCACTCAAGAGCAATACTAAAATACGCTACTGGTAAACTTGATCAGTTTGAACATGGAATGGACAGTGGAGCATTTCTCTCAAAAAAGAGTAAAGTTTAGATACAATTGTCCATGTTATACATCATGTATCATAGTAAATATGAAAACATAAAGTACTTGTGAAAGGACTAACTGAACAGGAGAGTATCCCAGATTATCTTCAGAATGGGATATAATTTCATAACAGAATCAGAGATTAATAACACCAAAGAAGACTTTGTAAAATCTGGGAGCGTAAGAGGCTCAGGAGGACACTAAGACTTGAAGTGTCAAATCACAGAACTATATCAAGCTACTATGAAGTGCTACTAGTTCACAAGGAAATTTAAAGGCCATTATTAGTATCCTGAAAATTCTCCTACCAAAAACACTCACTGTTTAACGTTCTAGCTTCTCTGCTAGATTGAAAACTTGATGAAGTGGGGGATGATCAAGGCTTTATCTCCAGAACATACCAGTGTCTGGATAAGGTAGTTGCCCAATAAATATCTGCTTGATGGCTTGATGAGACAGTACAGGAATATACAATTACACATAACACCCATTTCAATTAAATCAGTAAACATGGTGAGGATGAAATACTAAGGCTATGAATCACCTAGTTTAAAAGTGAAAGAAACAAAGGAAACAACTATTCACACAACTGCCTTTGTCCTTCTCAGAATAATAGAGAAACTTTGCTCAAATAAAGAAAGCTGGTGAATATTCCAGGCTCCACCCTGCTAGGGAATAAGGGGAAATAAGGCAGTGACTCAAAAAAACAGGAGTGGGGAAAAAAGGGAGAGTCAATTCTCCTAACTGCTCTTTTAAAGAGGGCATAGTGCTCACTTTCGAGGCACATATACTAAAATTGAAAGAGAAGAGAAGAGTAGAATGGCTCCTGCACAAGGATGACATGCAAATTCATGAAGCGTTCCATACTTTTTTTTAAGATTTTATTGGGGAATTGGAGAATCGGGGAAGGGGAACAGACAAGTTGCTGTCCTTTGGTTCTTCAGTCTAGTTGTGGAGGACGTTGCTTCACAGGCCCATGTGGGTATTGTGATCATTGCGTTCTTTCCAGCTGAGGCAGATCAGTCACTGGCCTTTGAATGGCCGCTCACGGCGGCTCATGGCAGCTCACGCTGGCTGCCGGCCACTCACGGTAGGTTATGGCACAGCCCACTGCAGCCACACTGCAGCCTATGCCGTCGCCGGCGACTCACAGCAGCCCAGCTCCAGGTCAAGCTGTTGTTCACCATCTTAGCTGTAGAGGGCA